CTTTGGGAATTAGAACATAAGCATTTAGCATATAGTGCCTGGATCACAGTAAATTATTAGGTTGTTATATGATATTTATTTTCATTTATGAAGTATGTAAGCAACACTAGTATTATACTTGCCAGTTATTAATGTTATTTTTTGAAAAGATTTTTCTGAGAAAAGTGGGTAGGAGTTAAAGAGAAAAGGGTAGGAAGACGGGATTTTGAAACATGCAAATACTTTATGGGAATGTAGCAGATGAAAATGTATCCCATCCCTTCAGGCATCATTTTAGCTGCTAAGTTTATGAATAAATTGATCTTTTCAGTTATAAATTGCCAGATTTGAAAGTTATTGAGCTAAAACTCTCACCTGCCAGTATATAGACAAAGATAGAGGCAGTGCATTCGTGGGACAAACTCCACCACTCCTGGTCTTTGGGAATTTACAGTCTTAACTAGGAAAAGGGGCATATTTTTATACTAACTTTAAGATCCTAACCCATCTTAGGTAGATTTTTTTTTTTTGCATAGCTAGTACTTAGATGGACGCCGAAAGAGAGGGACCATTAAATGTTCTAATAGAATTTAAGTTTGAATATTGAAATGATATTAAAAAATTAAGTTTACAAGGTGTTCTTAGAAACTGATTTTATTGCAAGTAAAGGAATTAACAGCTTGTCCCTGTGGTCAGCAGTTTTGACAGATATTTCCAAGACAGTTAGTAAAATATTGTGTTAAGATCTTTGTATCTTGTTTTCCTAAGTATAGCATCTCAGGGACTCTGCTTAATTTCCTGAAATGGGTGCGTGCTACTTTGATCCACAAAAGAAAGAAGATAGAACTCTCTCCTACCCCCCTCATGGCATGCACAAGTGTTTTTGAACCTCTATAGTTGAATCTGTGTATGATGTTACTTTGCTACAGAAACTTCAGCAACTTTGGATGAATCCATGTAGATGAAGATTTAGTTTAGATTTTAAAATCAGATCACAGGTTGTCCTTAGAGAATCACGTGTGTGAGGGCAGCCGTATAAAACCTAGTGTGGCCCAAGTCTTAAGGAGTAACAGACGGTCCATTTTATAGCAGTGCCTCCTGTGCCTAACAGAGCACCGTGCTAGTAACATGAGCGTGCCATTCACAACGTACTAGTCATTGATTGTGTAAACTTATTTTTAAAGTAACTGGCATATCCCATATCCCATAGTACATGCACCCTTTTATATTTATTGTGATGGATTGCAAAATACGTTTTTTTCAGTTTTGGATTATTCAGGTTTATGCTTTGAAGACTACAAAAATTTAACATTTTGGACTTTCTACATTAATCTTCTATCCCAGGGAATTGGTCTAAAATGTTTGTACTATTTTTTTTATTGAAGTGTAATTATATACCAGACAATGCACAGACCATAAATATATACGTAGCCTGATGTATTGTCACAAACTTAACACAAATTAGCCCATACCTAGATCAATACCCCAGAACCCTACCTCCTTCCAGTTAATACCCCTAGCCAAAGGTAACCACTACCTTGACTTCTAGAAACTGAATGTAGCTTCTTTTTTTAATGAGGTCTAAAGTTGTTTAATACATAATGAACAGTAGAAGAATTTTATCTATAATGGTGATGATTGCTAATAAAGAATTAAAGTTTCTGGAGGAAGTAGATAGAACTTCAAAAATGTATCATATCTTGTCATATCTGGTATAAATTTACACTTTCATAGACTACATTACTAACATAGAATACTGAACAGTCACATTACTTCCTTTATTTCTATGTGGGATCGTTTTGTGCTGGCTCATGTTAGGTTTATGTATTTAATACTCTTTCTTCTTTAAAAGCTATATTTGTTCTCAGGGGAAGCACTGCTGCTGTGCTCCTAAATTTCTCTCCTTGGTGTTCTTTTCATTACCTCTCCCTTAGGGAAGAGTTTGACTCTAATTAGTCTATTTGCAAATAGCCCTTATGAGCAAATTTTTAATCACCAACACAGGTGGCCTACATTCAGAAGGCCATCATGACGTGCATTACTCCCTCCTTTGATTGCACATATAGCTAACAAGCCATATTTGCTGAATACTAACTTGATTCAGAGCGTTCTGCCCGGTGCATTAGAGAGTATTAAAAGAAACATAAGATAGCAAACTTCCAGAGCGTTCTGCCTGGTGCATTAGAGAGTATTAAAAGAAACATAAGATAGTGAACTTCCTCTAGGAATTTAACAGTATAGTGAGGTGGTTGAAAGTGTGGACTCTGGAGCCAGAGTGCTTAATTCATATTCCAAGTCCACCACTTCCTAGCTGTGTAATTTTAGGCAAGATACTTAATTTTGTGTCCCATTTTCCTCATCAGTAAGAAGAGAGCAAAAGAATACTTAAGTCATAAAGTTGTGGACTATATTAAATGATATTAAAATATGTTAAGCATTTTGAGTTATTTCACACACACAGTAAAAACTCATTAAGTTTTAGCAGTTATAATAAAAATTACCACAGATATCATAGGTAACTATTGAAATTGGGACCAAGGTAGCAAGTAATTATTCCACAGTGCATGATTAAAGCAAATTGAAGCATCTCAGATCACTGCTTTAAATTGCTTGATCTAACCAGTCCATCCTAAAGGAAATCAGTCCTGAATATTCATTGGAAGGACTGATGCTGAAACTGAAACTCCAATACTTTGGCCATCTGATGCAAAGAACTGACTCATTTGCAAAGACCCTGATGCTGGGAAAGATTGAAGGTGGGAGGAGAAGGGGCCGACAGAGGATGAGATGGTTGGATGGCATCACCATCTCAATGGATATGAGTTTGAGTCAATTCTGGGAGTTGGCCATGGACAGGGAGGCCTGGTGTGCTGCAGTCCATGGGGTCACGAAGAGTCAGACACGACTGAGCAACTGAACTGAACTGATTCCATGTGCCATCTTTGCCTCCATATTATCAGAGTCTCCAGACTGATATAAACTAATTTACTGTCTTTGATTAGAAATGGAAAAAGAGAAGAACCTGTAAAAATCATGAACCATTTAAAGAAACTTTGTTTAAAACTCCCAAGTATTTGTGAAATACTAATCTGTTTTTCAGTTTCAATGTGAAATATAAATAAAACCTCTTTCAAGGCAAAACAAAAATAAACTCACAAGTATGTTTTTTGCAACTCTTCCCCGTTCCCAATTCAGGATGCTCTTCCCCTCCCCCTTGATTTTCTGGTTTTATTCACTTTGTGTTCTCTAGTACCTGAATGTTTCGCAGTTAAAGACTTAAGTGAACAGCGTTTTCATTTATCTTTCAGGGATGTTAAAGTCTGATGAGTCATTTGTACCTTAGTATCATAATCAAATTCTTTTTCATTGAGTATCTGGACAGAAATCAGATAGAATGAAAGAATGGGAAGGTATTGTTTGGGAGAGAAATGAGCAATTTTGAAATACAAAATGTTTTATTTCCTCTCTAAATAGAGGTTTTATAGTGAGGAGTGTTGGGCAGCCTGACATCACTGGGGATGGGAGAAAGGACAAAGAAATAAGTGGTAGGATGTCAAAACTTATTTTCCTCTCTCTTTTTTAAGTGTTGTCTATTAGTGTTAATTTACCCATGTTATTTATTATAAGTGAAGTAGGCTTTGGGAAGAACCAAGCTAGGAAGATGCCATTTACTACACATTCTGTGGGAAGATGAATTCCAGGTTCCAAATAAGGAAAAGTATAAATGTTCCTAAAAATCTTTATTAGAATGCATTCTGTTTGTAAGTGATGTAAACAGTAAACTCTATGTAAATTCAGAAGAGGTATTTTTCCTTGAAAGTTAAAGTGATACAGAGTTAGGGAGTATGTAGAGTTTGAATAATTCTTTTAATCTGGCTAACCCTTTTTAATATTTGTGTCATGGGAAAGTGAAGAGGCCAAAAGTGTGTTGATGAGGGTGAGTACAGTGTCTGAAGAAAAATGGGAACTGGAAGAAGATGAGGTTAGCAACTGGTATTTCAACTTTCTAGCTGAAAAGTTTGAATTCTTTTCTTAGGAGAGAAGTAGTTTTCTTTAGTTCTGCCTTATGCTACAAGTGTAATGCCAAATTATCTGGTTATTTTTGGTTTAAAGTTAATATGGTAACGTTTCATGCTTTTAAAAAATAGATTAAATAGAGTTCTCATTTAAGTTTTACTGAATGAGGGATTTCAAATTTGAAAAACTTTCCACTTTGAAAGTCATTTTAGATGACAGGATCTCCTAGTAGTATATGTATGATGACAGTTTAGCTCTGTTAAACATTGTAACAATGTACTTTGTGGGCCTTGAGTTTTGAAGAGGGGAAGACCATCTTTAAAGTGCTCTATTCTTCAGCATGGGATGTACCCATTGTCTCCTTTCTGCTTTTTCCATTTTCTAGATGAAAAAATATTGTTTCCTCCACTTGTAATACTGTATGGAAAGTAAATGAGGAGGCTTAGAGAAAGCTTACAGTAACACATTCTATAAAGCAACAGCTAATTGTGTAAAATTTTTATGCAGTTTTCAGGGCAAACTGTGAAGTGTTTGTGTGTGTGTGTCTATGTGTGTGTGAAGAAATTTAGAATGACCACCATACACCACAGTTTTTACTTATTTAGGATGAATGTTTTTTTCTTCAAAGTGATGTCTGGTGGTAGGACATAGTACGAATGAAGATTTAGAAGTCAGAAAATAATTTCACAGAGCTCTATTTATCTATATCTGATATAGATAATTGGCCACAATATAAATCCTTATAAGATGTGTTAAACTTAAGCATCCATTATATCTTTTCCAGTGGCTGCCACATCCAGTTGGATTTCTCTTTAAGATTGTGATTTAACTTGTGCTTCATAAAGGTTTTCTTTTTTTAATATAATATGTATGTAGTCAAGTTGAACAGTATCTCCAGATTAATTCCAAGAATACTTAGAAAAGGTTTGTGTGAATATTTTTTTATTTCTAAATTCAGCATTTTGATACAAATACCCATGGTTTTCTTCTGTGTTTACATGCAGCCAGGAGCTATGGGCGAAGACGAGGTAAAATTTTTTTAATGAGATCTTTTGCTTGCCAAATTGTGAGTAAATATGAGTGTGTGTGTGTTTATACTCGTGTGTGTAAAACAATAATTATGGTGTGGTATGATGTTCTAGCTTCATTATTTTAGTGAAATAATTCTCTTATCTCTTTTGTTATAATTATTTTTCAATGTTAGTTGGTAATTTGTTCTTTTAATCCCGATAAAGACATAGCAAAGACTATTTTTAACTGGAAGTTTGTGTTATATGGTTTATTGGGAATGATCTTAAGGGAATAAAGGCCAAGCATATGTATTTTGTTCTTGTTCTGTCCTCACTGTGTTCTTTTCATAGTACTTAGAAGTTAGGCTTTAGAGGGCAGTTCTCGATCTTAGTAGGTTGACTGGTGAGTTTTTTCTGTGTTATATCCAGAGACAGATTTACCTTGAAGCTAAATGAAGCCTGAGTTTCAGGTACCCTCACTTTCATGGGATCCCCTCCAAGTTTTCTGCCTTATCTTTATGTTCTTTTCTTAAAGAGAGGTCCTCTACTTACATAGGCTCTAAGCTCCATAAAACTTGCATTCTCCCTGTCCACACCCAAGCAAAGTAATATTGCTTTCATTTGTGTATTGCTGTAATCTTTCTAAAGCATTTCCATATCTGTAATTGGTTAAATAATATTACAAAGTAGGTAGGGTAAGCCTAATATAGTAGAAAGGTATGAAATTCAGGGTCAAAGACTTAGGTTTGGAATCACTAACATTTGGTATCCTCATCTATAAGTTATGAAGTGATAAAATCAACCTTGTCCAACTTCAAGAATGCTAATTAGTTAGGTATCCCTGGTGGTCTAGTGGTTAGGACTCTGGCTTCTATTGCTGGGGCCCTGGGTTCAATCCCAGATCAGGAACTAAATTTTTTTTTTAAGAATGTTAAGTTAGTGAATTATAGTATAAAAAATGGAAGAGGAAAACTTGTCCATATAAACTAAACTAAAAGCATTCCACAAATGCCGGTTGCTTTGGTGCTCATTTGCAAAAGCTGGGAGAGATGAAGTAATTTGCTTTGTGATCTCAAGTTAAAGTCAGAGCCAAGACCAGAACCTTTGTCTTTTGGCTGCTTGTTGGGTGATGTTTATCATTCATCAAGCTGTCTCTGACTCTGTAGATGAGTCCTGAAGAGAAGATAATAATAATTAAATTGGTAATATTTATTCCACAGTAAATATTTGTTGAATAGGTGAATATCAGCAGGACTTCATATGTATTTGAGTTACCATTGAAACATTGTCATGGTGGAATCACATGGTCAGTTTTGTTTTCATATGATGGTGAAGAAAAACATTTGTATAATTGGCTATTTTTTAATTATGACAAGGTCATTTAATATTTTTTCCTCTTGTAATTTTATTTATTTTTATTTATTTATTTTATTTTATTTTATTTATTTTATTTATTTTATTTTATTTTTTTTTTTAAGTGAACTCTCCTAATTTTAATTTTTTTTTTTTTTTTTTGTAAAATGCTTTTTTTTTTTTTTTTTACATGTATTCCCCATCCCGGTCCCCCCTCCCACCTCCCTCTCCACCCAATCCCTCTGGGTCTTCCCAGTGCACCAGGCCCGAGCACTTGTCTCATGCACCCAACCTGGGCTGGTGAACTGTTTCACCCTAGATAATATACGTGTTTCGATGCTGTTCTCTTGAAACATCCCACCCTCGCCTTAGTAATTTTAAAATTTCAAGTGTAGAAAATAATATTACTATAATTGTTATGTAACATATCTTTTTTCTTGGTGCTAGGAAGTTGATTGCTCTCAGGGAAGGAATAGAGAAGGACAGCATCTCAGGGGTAGATAACAGGGACTGTTCTCATCTTAGGCACTGATCAGTCCCCAGATCTTGTCAGTATATTTCCTTTAGTTTCTCAGGCCTTCCCCGTCCCTTTCCATTGTGTCGTTTCATCTTTCTGAAACACCATTTTGTCCTTCTTACCCTCTTTCTCCATTCAGGAGCTCTGTCATCTGACTTCTTGTTTCACCAGCCTCATCATCTCCCATTTTTCCTACCTCACCTTCCCCTTGACCAACCCTTGTGCTTTCCCACTGTCTGCTGCTGCTAAGTCACTTCAGTCGTGTCCGACTCTGTGCGACCCCATAGACGGCAGCCCACCAGGCTGCCCCGTCCCTGGGATTCTCCAGGCAAGAACACTGGAGTGGGTTCCCATTTCCTTCTCCAATGCATGAAAGTGAAAAGTGAAAGTGAAGTTGCTTAGTCGTGTCCGACTCTTAGTGATCCCATGGACTGCAGCCTACCAGGCTCCTCTGTCCATGGGATTTTCCGGGCAAGAGTACTGGAGTGGGGTGCCACTGCCTTCTCACTGTCTAGCCGTTGCCAAGTACTGTCCACCCTTCCTCTCATTTACTTAACTAAAACCTATCTTTAGTTCATGCGTTCAAGCCTGACTCAAGCCTTACCCCGTCCAGGAAGCCTTGCCCGGTGGCCTTACAGGCCGTGTTTTCCTCTGCTTCTGTTGCCTTACTTTCCTTCTGCCTTTTCTGTGTGCCCTCATTCTTCAACGGGAGATAAGTTCTTTGAGGACAGCTGTCTTATGTGCCTTACACTGTGACCTACATATAGTTAGCACTTACTGAATGCTTATTGGTGAGGATTGTTTTGAAGTCAGACCCCATGTTTATGCAGACCAGAATTTGACTTTGTATTTTTTATTATTATATACTTAAAAATCATAGTATATTATATGTTAGGCATCAAGAATATAAGATCACCTATAATTTCTAAACTCCTGAGAAAATAATTACTCTTCCTAGTTCCGTGTTACCTTCCCCATTTTTATTTGTAAGGTTTGACTTAATCGTTTTCAGAAGCCATGATATCTTTCCATCAAGTGCTAAGCTAAACTCTGCCTAGAATGACTTGGTTACTGCTCTGTATTAAGTCTGCAGTTTGATAGTTGTAAATGAAGAAGATAATGGCAGAAATGTGTGTGTGTGTCTGCGCATACACACACATACATGCGTGACAGAGAAAGAGCATGAGAGAGCAGTGAAATACTTGAGTGTTGACTTTCTGTAATGAGAAAAGAACAGCCAGTGATTTTTCGTTCCATGCTTTTATTTGGTCTTCTGTTCCCAAACTGAAAAAGAAGAAATGTCATCTTTTAAAAATGCAGTAACGTAGGGCAGGTATACTCATATTTACTCTCATTTTCTGAAATACACTCATCTGGACCAACATTCCATGGTATAAATTTGATGATCTGGCTGATTTCCTCGCACTTGTTTATTTGTATGATCAAGGATTGTATTAATGCTTAATTTCTTTCCTGTAAACAAAATTTAGGCTTTCCCCTAAAAGCATAAAAAGTGAACTTGCTGTTGTGTGTTGGCTGTAACTTATATTCTATGTTTTACATACATGTTGGTAAACATTTTAGGAATAGAGGGCAGAGGGAATTATCTGTGACAGTTTCGAGATATGTCAGCAAGATTTAGGCCAGTGAAACTTTCCGTCTTTTCTGATTAAACCTGGAAAGGCTTCCTGGAACAGGTAGAATTTCAAGAACTCTTTGGATGATGGAAGAGGAATAGGAAGTGAAGCACTCCAGGTGTCTTGATTCAACTTAAAAGAAAGCTCTGAGGTGAGACTGGCATGGCCAGATGCTTGGAGCATGTGTCTGTGAGTGTATGCAGTGGGGGCCAGCTGGAGAGGAGAACTTGGCAGTGAGATGATCTGTGCTCCCCTGATGAATGGTTTTTGACACAGATACTGTCAGGCTTTAGGAACAGGGTTTCATGATACAAGTAATGAAGACAGGAGAGAATTTGGACATTGGTTGACAGCTTGGATGGGGCATCAGGTATTGGAGGGTAGACTTTGGCAAATCAAGTGCCTCCAATAGTACAGTTAAAGCAGTAGCAGTTGGAAAGAACAATTAGGTATGAAAGAATAGGATTTGAAAATGAATATTGATTGTACCCCATGGACTATAACCCGCCAGGATCCTCTGTCCATGGAATGCTCTAGGCAAGAATACCAGAGTGGGTATCCATTTCCTTCTCCTGGTGATCTTCCCCACCCAGGGATCTAACCCAGGTCTCTTGCATTGCAAGTGGATTCTTTACTGTCTGAGCCATCAGGCAAGCCCCAGTTGTTTATAAAGAATTTAAATATTCAATTGTATTTCCCATTGATTCCCACTTTTATTTTAGAGATGTGTTCCAGTAGACAAGTGTTGATTTCCCTTGTGGAATCAGAATGACAGCAAAGAATCTTAACGTTTTTCTTCTATAGTGTTCTGACTTTCACAAGCTTTTATATGTGTTTTCCCATACAGCTGCAGCCCCTGTTAGAAACTAGCCTAATAGCTGGTGTTATATGTGATATTTGCCTACACATTTTACAGCACACTTGATTAAAATATATGCTGTGTTTTCATCTCATATGAGTTTTTATGGTCTCTGGGAGACTTTTGTCCATATGCAGAGATGTTGGCTATGCCAGTGCTCTTGATGTTTAACAGAATTTCTTAGTTAAAGAGCAACAAGGAAAATATGAAAGATTTTTTTAAGTAATGTGAATGAGCAAATGGAAAGAATGATTTGAGTTACTTTACTATTGGATTTACTGTGGATTGGTGTTACTATTGTAAAATGTAGTTCTGTGTATACTTAACCATAAAAATCTATTGAAATTAATGGATGATTTAATCAATAACAAAAGTTCTAAGAATCCAATAAAACAAACTCGTGTGTGAATTTGGTGTTGTCTTTCTGCCAAAAGCCTGCCCAAGGGAGGAGAGATCAGCTGTATCAGTGAGACCATGGTACAAACATGATATCCTGCTAATTCAAATCAGGTTCTGCGAGCTTTTTTGTTTAAAGAGGAATGGATGGTTTCAGAGTGAAACATGGACAGCTGAAGAAATATCTGACTGTTCATAGCTATGGTATCTGAAGTATTACTGCTTATAGTAATAGGGAAATATGAGTATAGGAGAT